ATTTGGCACGCGGGTGGAGATATTTAGGCCACCAATCCATTAGGAAAGCTATGGACTTCTGAAATAATAATCACTGGCTTTTTTTTTCTTTTTAAATTTCTTATCCCTTTTAATTAAGTTTGAGTCGACAAAGCAGACAGAAATACCACTTTTGTATTGGTTTCATTTGACTTCATCTAATCCTCTCAGCTCAGTTTTCTGCATTACTGTTTGTAGATAAGAACCAAAACATATTCTTTGCAATACCAAGACATGGGGGATAGCAAGCGAAAGAGAGGACGCAAACCCAAAAATCCTGCTACAGAAATCCTAGACTTGCCTACCACTGGCACTGCCCCTAATAACAATGGTAACAATCCTTCTGCTAAGGACGATGTCTTCTCTCTTGGCAGTGTTGACCTAATTGACAACACTACCTCTCCACACTACCGTCGCCGACACAAGAAGTCTACGACTCACTCGGACAAGCTTGATAACGCACCTGCAATTTCTACTGCTAGACGGGTCTCTCGTTCTGTTGACAATGATGGAAATTTTGCTGTTCCTGGTGATCCTGGGGGTTCCATGGCAGTAGCAATGGCCATGGAAACAGATCCAGCATGGGAGAGTGTTTCGGCAAGAGTGTTGCCAGCAATGGATTCTGTTGTTAAGGTGTTTTGTGTGCACACAGAACCTAACTTTTCTCTGCCGTGGCAGAGGAAAAGGCAGTACAGCTCTAGCAGTAGTGGGTTTGTGATCAGTGGGAGGAGGGTGCTCACCAATGCCCATTCAGTGGAGCACTACACCCAAGTCAAGCTCAAGAAAAGAGGCTCTGATACCAAATACTTGGCTACAGTGCTTGCCATTGGGACCGAGTGTGACATCGGTACACACTTCTCTGTTGACATATAAATCTAACTAATTTCTTATATATTAACCAAGATAAATGGAGGAATAAAATTGCAAGACAAAAACAGTGACAATTTCAACTTTTTTATGGAGATTTGGGAGTGAACCATCCTTGAATCCATCATAAAGGAGGCTGCTGATTATAATTCTTATTAGAATCTGAATCAAAGTTTTTGATGTTGCACTTGCAGCCATGCTTACTGTTGAAGATGATGAATTCTGGCATGGAATGTCACCTGTAGAGTTTGGGGATTTGCCCACACTACAAGATTCGGTTATTGTTGTTGGTTATCCTATTGGCGGAGACACTATTTCAGTGACTAGTGGCGTTGTATCTCGCATTGAGATCCTATCATATGTCCATGGTTCTGCTGAACTTCTAGGATTACAGGTTAGGTTGAAATGACTGGCCTCTGTGCTTTGAAGCATGGACAGACATGTACATGTTTACGTGTCATCTATGTGGGGTTTCTAGTTTCTCCTGCTATCTCTTTTTTTGGGGGCTAGCCGCCTTGGACTTATGTATGATGCACATCCTAGCTGAAGTTATTTCATTTTGGCATGTTTGTACATATAACGTGTTAGGGTTGTTTTGGTAATATGTTGTAGATGTGTCAGCCACTCACATAGTTGAGAACAAGCGTGTCTTCTTCATTCACTGGTATCATCAAGTTTGCTTCGTTTGTGTTTTCCTAGTTTTTTTGAAAGTTATTTCTTTTGCAGATAGATGCTGCTATAAACTCAGGTAATTCTGGTGGGCCTGCATTTAGTGATAAAGGAAATTGTGTGGGAATTGCATTTCAGTCCCTCAAACATGAAGATGTAGAAAATATAGGTTATGTTATTCCAACACCAGTTATCATGCATTTCATCCGTGATTATGAGAAGAATGGAGCATATACAGGTACGGTGATTGCTGATTTGATGTGCTAAGATGCAAAATTTTAAATTTGACTTTTACAATCTGTATCTAACCATGGGAAATAAGTACAGAAGTTTTAATCTATTAGTTATTTCTGTCTGCATCTGCTTTCAGGATTCCCTGTCCTTGGAGTTGAGTGGCAGAAAATGGAAAATCCTGATCTGCGAATGGCAATGGGCATGAGATCCGATCAGAAGGGGGTACGTATTAGAAGAATTGATCCAACTGCTCCAGAATTTAATGTCTTGAAACCTTCAGATGTTATTCTTAGCTTTGATGGGGTTGATATTGCCAATGATGGGACAGGTAAAAGGAATCTTGCAGCCTCGTACGTATACTTTGGGGCATGCTTATTTAGACTATATTTCTCTTGATTTATTTTTTTTAAAGCTGTTAGAGAATTCATTTGTTGGATTTATCATTGCTTTTCTAAAGCAACCATTATAGACAAAATGAATGATGAAAGCATGAGCCTTCTGCCTCTTCTCATCACAAAAACAACAATAACTGATTGTCTAAAGTGACGGATTCTCCCCGCCCCTCAAATTTATGAGTGGAAAATACATTAAAAGGCTTTGTATATTGCTTTGAATCAATAAAATATTATGGGCACATCTATTTTTATGATAAAGGACCTAGACAGAGAAGAGCAATGCTTTTGATGTGTGGCCAGCGAAGAGAAAAAGAATCAGGAAAATATTAAGGCCGCACAGAAAAGAAGAGGACAAGACATACTTTATTCTCTCTTCATATTTATGCTCAATTATTTGTAGATGTTAATGCAGTTGTTTTGGCCCATGATATGAGTGCAGTTTAACAATGAAGTCACGGCTTATCTGGGTGCTTTTCCCCTTCTGACCTTTGTGATTTTAGGTTGTAGTGATGGTGGATATCTTTGTTAGTTCATCATCTCTCCTGTGGATGGCATGACAAATGTGGATTATTATGCCTCTGCCATGATCTTCCTTAATCCTTATTTCTTTACTAGATGAGTTGTGGAATTTGACGTTTTTAATTTTTGAAGTACTATTATACAAGATTAAAGTTTATCTATGAGCAATATCTGATGCTTATTTCTGATGATAAGAAGAATTTTGAGCTAGGCATTTGTCCTGACATAACATTTCAACTTCTATCTTAATCTTCCATCGCTTTGTATCCAGTTATTGTGTTTGCAATTCAAGTGTCTGCCACCTAACGCTTTAACTCCTTTGTACATTTTACAGTTCCATTTCGCCATGGAGAGCGCATTGGTTTCAGTTATCTTATATCTCAGAAATACACTGGTGATAAAGCAGTAATCAAAGTATTGCGAAATTCAGAGATCTTCAAATTTAACATTAAACTTGGTGGTCACAAAAGGCTCATTCCAGCACATAGCAAGGGCAGGCCTCCCTCGTATTATATCATCGCAGGATTTGTTTTTACAGCTGTCTCAGTTCCATATCTTCGTTCTGAGGTTTGTGGTTGATTTACCATCCTTTACTGCCATATTGAGTTTATTTCATATCTTGGTTGGCAACCTTAATTTTCTTTCTAGTATGCATGCTATCTTGTGTTCTTAGTTTGTTTTATTATCACTTGTTTCATTTTCACATTTCCTAGACTTTTGAGCTCTTGGAACTTGTGAGCTTTTCCGTCTAGGCTCGTGCAGCTCTGGACCCTCTTTATAAATTTGTTGGTATAACCTGTGTTTACAAAGCTTTTACTTGAATTCTGAGTTTTGAACCTTGAATGAACAGTATGGAAAGGATTATGAATATGAAGCTCCGGTCAAGCTTTTGGATATAAACTGCTGCATTCAATGCCACAGTCACCCGACGAGCAACTTGTTGTGGTCTCTCAGGTACACTATGCCACTATCTATTGCCCTTCGCTGCTGTTTTTCTTTAGTTTTTGACAAAGTTGGACGGTCTGTGTCCGCTCTATGCTAGGTGTTGGTAGCTGATATAAACATCGGGTATGAAGATATTGTTAATACTCAGGTAAGTAATGTTTATTTTCCATTTTCATTTCCTTGCTGCTGGTTACATTATGTTTAGTGATGAATCCACTTGGTCCTTCGTTGTCATTACTTCCATTTACATATGAAGGTACTTGCTTTTAATGGTAAACCCGTTAAAAACCTGAAGAGCTTGGCCAGCATGGTTGAGAACTGCAATGATGAATATCTAAAATTCAATCTAGAGTATGATCAGGTGCCTTCTCTATTCCTTCCTCCACTGACTGCTTGGGCGAAATATTGCATTTCCCCCCTTTTGTCTTTTATGGGGTGGAACGTGGCATTTGTCCTTTTGTTCACTAATAAGCATCGCCTAAATGCAGATAGTGGTCCTTCGGTCAGCTACGGCTAAAGCAGCTACTCTTGATATTCTTGCCACCCACTGCATTCCGTCCGCAATGTCGGATGATCTCAAGGGATGAATTGGAACGCAAGTTGATGGATTGTGCTTGGAGTCCTTTTTTAACGTTTACATCATTTACACCATCTTTTGGAGCTTCAGATATGTAGGCCTGTAGGGTAGACTTGCTAACTTTTGATCTTGAGATAGTGTTTCATTTCATCCAAATGTTAATACGTCTATAGAGAGTAGAAACTGATAGAACTGTTTTTGACGTGGGGTGGAAGATACCAAATCAGGATGCATAACTTACCATTTTGACTGTATTCTTTTACATTTTTCTGTTTGCGAAATTTCGTGGAAGATAAGCAATGCGCAGAGTCCCAGTTTCTTGTATTTGATCTTTCGCTTTTCCCACTGGGAGTGCTCCTGCCCATGATTTTAAACTCTCCTTTCCCATGGCTTCCTTTTTATTTCGTTCATTTCCCCAAAGCTATGCCCCCCCATGAAGAGTAAAATTGAAGTGCATTTTACTAAATCTCGCATTGAGGTTCCAGCAATCATTGATAATCCTTCAATAAGTGTTACGTTTTTCATCCCCCCCCCCCCAAAAAAAAAAATTCACCTCTGAATTTTACTACTATAGCCTTATACTGTGAAAGAATAGCATGGTTATATAACGGACGTTAATTTTGAAAAAGAACAACTAAAACCATGACATAAGATCTGAGATCTTGATCTGCAGAACCCAAGACCTTCAGACCCACGACTTATAACCCAAAACAATGTAGGCCCAAATGCTATGTGCTAACTCTTTAATTCGGAGCCTTGTCGGGATATAACATGTGGGCCTTTATAAATGGTCCTAAGGGATTAGTTGGATTGTGTTAGGTTGATTCGCCAGCCCGAGTACATCCACGTGTCCAGTAATGAAGAGCGTTACGTCGACATGGAAACTTTAAAGGCTCATCTCCGTTCTGTTGGGTCGGCGCGTGCCTAGCCTGCCATTGCAAAATTGCATCACGTTGGCTTCAGATTTTTCCACTCGCACTCTGGTATATTTCTCCTTCAATTCTCAGCTTCGTATGGAGAAGATGGGCGCTGATGATCGCAGTTTGGAAGAATTTTTCGAAGAGAAGAAGCGCGTCAGGAACCCTCTTGTGCCCGTTGGTATTATCTATCCTTTGCCCTCATTTTCTCCGCGCTCGCGTATTTCCTTGTTTAGTTTTTACTTGGACTTGCTGCTTCCCAAGTTAGTCCTTTTTTTTTTTTCGGCCCCCTAATTCTACTGGGTTCATGTCTTTTAAATCGATTTTTCGGTGCCATATTTTATGTATTCTGTTTGATTTCGTTGTTCCGTTGTTCTTTTCTTCTCTTTGGGGAAAAATCCTCTGAATGAATGGGAAAGGTGGAATTGCAAGTACGGAATGTTGAGAAAGATACCAGGGAATTTAGGATTGGATTAAAGGAGAAAAATTTTAGGGCTTGTGAAGCCGGATTCACCCAGGACATCTCATTGATTCACGTATGAACCCAATAATCTACTTATCTAAGTGTGAATCCATCGTTCAGACCTGCATCCCCTCAAAAGTCTGTATTCCTTTCAAGTTTTTCTACGGTCTTGACTATAGCCCTGCCCACAGGCCCACAGCTCTTCGGTTGAATATGAGGCAATCACCATAATTCATAGACTGGTGGCAAACATCTTAGTCTATGCACGTCTAATCGTTACACCTTGGCCTTATTGGCTTCTCTTTCTACACGGAGCAGTAGTAAATATAAGACCAAATTACGATACACTTGGTTTTGATACCCTTTATTGATGTCTGATTTGGGGAGGGCTGTGATCCAGGGAGAATGGTCTTCCTCGATCGAAGACTAGAGAGTTAGAGCAAAGGGAACTGGAGATGCCATTGTTGAAATTAATGTGGCGAAAAACAACATCCCATATGATTTTGATTTCTGAGATCAAATGTGTATAAAGTATCTAAAATCTGAATCTGACATTCATCTGCTTTGCTAACTGCCTGTGTTTCCATCTTGAAGTAATAATCGCACCCTTCTTTTCATGGTTCTGAATCCGATCATATCCTGAGGATGCAAAATCTTGATTCACGTATGAACCCAATAATCTACTTATCTAAGTGTGAATCCATCGTTCAGACCTGCATCCCCTCAAAAGTCTGTATTCCTTTCAAGTTTTTCTACGGTCTTGACTATAGCCCTGCCCACAGGCCCACAGCTCTTCGGTTGAATATGAGGCAATCACCATAATTCATAGACTGGTGGCAAACATCTTAGTCTATGCACGTCTAATCGTTACACCTTGGCCTTATTGGCTTCTCTTTCTACACGGAGGCAGTAAATATAAGACCAAATTACGATACACTTGGTTTTGATACCCTTTATTGATGTCTGATTTGGGGAGGGCTGTGATCCAGGGAGAATGGTCTTCCTCGATCGAAGACTAGAGAGTTAGAGCAAAGGGAACTGGAGATGCCATTGTTGAAATTAATGTGGCACGAAAAACAACATCCCATATGATTTTGATTTCTGAGATCATAAATGTGTATAAAGTATCTAAAATCTGAATCTGACATTCATCTGCTTTGCTAACTGCCTGTGTTTCCATCTTGAAGTAATAATCGCACCCTTCTTTTCATGGTTCTGAATCCGATCATATCCTGAGGATGCAAAATCTTGTGCGTGAAACTTACTTTTGACCATAGATAGAGTCAATCAGTTTACTAGGTTGCTGTCTGCCGACCATTGGACGCTAATAAATTTAGCAAATGGATCATAATTCTAGGTGGAAACGGTCTGCACTCTGTCAATCTCTGAAGATTGAGATGTGATGGGCGTATGGTGTGCTAAACGAATTCTGAATCTGATGGAGGCTTCTCTTTATAATTGATGCCATCTTCCCTCCTGCATACAAACGCGATGGAAACTGTCTTGTGTTGGGTAATTTCAACTTTAGATTGTTGTCTCCAATGAGATGGTTCTTAGTGACTGTTGTTGAATGACTATTTCAGCTCTTAATTTTATTTGTTCTTTCTACTTGGTTTCGTTTTAATTTTTGTGTGACAAAGCTAATTGTTCAGCATACAGATGTTTTAGGTGTATAGTAAAAGTTAAAAGGATGAATCATGAAGCAAACTTAAAAGGATTAAGTTGAAACAATAAAGTATCACTTATTGCTGCTGGTGTATAAATTTTAGGTGCATTTATCACTGCTGGTGTGCTTACGGCTGGCTTAATCAGTTTCAGACAAGGCAATTCTCACTTGGGTCAGAAGTTAATGAGGGCCCGTGTGGTTGTCCAAGGTGCTACAGTGGCGCTTATGGTTGGCACTGCATACTATTATGGAGATAATCCTTGGCAATCGAGTTAAATTGTGAATTTTTCCCCTGCCGTTGACTTTTTTGTCGTGTAATATAAAGTTTGGTCATTGAAGGACCAAAATCCTTGTTCACATCTTTGGAAACTTTATTGAGATTACATTCGCATACGCAGTTGAATTCTTATCAGTGTACTGTGATATATAATTCATTCAATAATACGACTTCCTTGAAATACTGGAGGGAAGCACGATTGTACTGGATCCTACATAGCTAGGAATTATCATTTTCATCGAAGTGAGTGGATTGATGTGAGTTGCTTTTGTAAATTGTAACTTCAAAGGGGAAGTTACTTGTGAGAAGTAGAAGTTTGAAAATTAAAAAGTGCCGCACCCTAATTGCCTGGATGAGATGTGGCCTCAACCCTAATTGGAAATATCCGCCTGAATTTTGGTGGCGGTTATCTGGTAGTAGTTTGGCGTGATTACTGCTATAATGTACTCTTCGTCACTTATTATAAGATCTATAAGATTTAATTTTTTAAGTGGATTTGTTTCTTTTTATAAGATCTTCTTTGAGTTTGTTTGAGTATTGAATGCAGTATTACCTATTTTACTCCTAATTTATATATATTTAATATATTTTCTTTATTATTTATCTTATTATTATTCTCCCATATTTATCCATTTATATATAGGGGTGTATTTGAAAAAAAAAAACTGTATTTATTACATATTAATTATTTTTAACTAATTTTAACTGTTTTTTTTAAATTGCATGATTTACTTAAAAGGATCTTATACTTGTTTTGGTAGCAGTTCAAACCGCTGCTCTGGGCTCTGGCGGCAACAAAGCTGCTACTGATTAATAAATTTTGTGTGATCGATTGTTTCATGTGCATATAATAACAATTAAGAAAATATTAAGGAAAAAGATTGAGGCTCATGTTTCTTAAGATGTTTGCACATTTGAAGTACCCTCCTCAATGAGAAAATTCGCCTAGTAAATTGATCATGGATCACCTAGGAAATGACCATCACTTCCATATTTGAAGTATTTTCAATAATAATTTATAAATATTATAAAAACTTGTAAAGTTAGTTATTCCCGACATATTTATATTGGTTCGTAAAATTTTTCTTCTAATTTCTTTTACGTGAGGATCAGTTTTATAAAATGCAAAAAATCATATAATTAAAGTTGAAGTAGCAGAAACTGAGAAAAAAGAAGAAGTTAACGCAACATCATTTTTGTTTTAAAAAAAAAGATTGGCTAAGAATAGCTTGAAGGAAAAGTTTTCCTTTTGATTATTAACCTTTTTAATGAAAGCTTTTTTAATATATGCAAATAATGGGATATTTTAAAATAACAAATTAGTTTCATATTTAGAGTTAAAATATACTTTTCAGATAGTGTCAACTTTAAAAATATTTAAAGACTGATTAAATCACATGTTCCTTAAGTTTCATGATATTCATATACTTGAAATTTGAAATATTCTTCCATTGCAAACATTAAGTACATCTGAATGATGGCAAATTTTTCTTAACAATTTTGGAAAAAAAATCCTAATCCACTATAAACCAAATATAATCTACCAAAAAGAATTTAGTTCTAAAAAGTACTGACATTTCTCATTATTTTTATATATTTAAATCTTATTTTTGGTTTTTGTGCTTAATTGTGTGTATTTGTGTTCAAGGGTATTTTTGAAATTCGAGTGATTAATTATGTATTTTTATTGAATTTTAATTCTTTTGAAATATGATATTACAAAGCGTTATTTCTATGTGTAGATGGCATTGGATACTTGGACGCAAGTTAATTGAGCAATTTTAAATCAAAGTGGAGTCATTTTTCCAAGATTAATTATGGGAGATCGGAGATTGATCCAATGGTTGATGTTACACAAGAGAAGGATTAAGTTGAATATCAATTTGCTTGTCGTGAGATTTTGAAGAATTTATGGCATATATTTGATAAGCTAGCAATCATAATGTTGTCACAGAAAAGAAATGCAAGATTTATTGAACACATAGAAGTCAAGAAAGCTTATTAAGTACCAACAACAAGAAGTCTTATTCTACTAGATAGGGTCAACTACATGGATCGGACGATCCCATTGTGTTTTATCAACAACTAAGTTTTTGGATATGTTATTGATCATGAGGTCTCATTAAGTACCAAGTAGTAATAATCAAATAATTAAAGCGTTGCCGTCGTGTACGTTGGTTGAATTTTAGGCTTTTGCTATCGAACATGTTGGTCACCTTCTAAGTGACTGCGATTGCTGGAGATATAGGTAATATCCAGTTACGTTTCATATGTCTCATTAATTAGCTCTACATCTTCCTTTTTTCTCACAGGTTGATGAATGGTTTTGAAGTGGAGACGATGATAAATGATAGCCCATCGATATATTTGGGGTGGAGTTTCATGGTCCAAAAGATAGTACTGTCCACATTCCATCTCTCTAACTTGGCTTGAAAATATTTTGAGTTGATAATATATGAATTGGCTCATGGCATCTGTCACAACCTCATGTTTGCAGGCCCTCACGAAGATGGAGTCTGGAAAATTCTTGTTCACGTTCCACCCGAATATCCATTCGAAGCCCACAAAATACTCTTTCTGAACAAGATATTCCACCCAAATATTGATTTCGCCTGAGCACACTATTGGCTGCGAACCTTTATCGTTTTGGACTACGGAATAACAGCTGCAAAATTGTTAATTTTTAAAAAGTTTGACTATGGCTGTCCCTGTTTTGTCTGCAGAACTGGTGCCTATATGCTTGAATGTTCTTTCCGAAGGCAGGAGTGGAATATATGGCAATTGCTAATTTTAGAATCCTTATATAAAAAAATTTCAAGTACTTTTGCCTTTGATGATTTTATGGATTTTCATCATACTCAAGTGTATAACATGCATAGATATAGTCACACAGATTTCCGGAGAACCTGATTTCCTCTACATAAATACATACATTTATATGACCATGCATCTTTTGTTTTTCATCTTTCCAGATCTTGTACATATTTTTGAAATATTTCTTCTACGACTCTTGCTTTATCCAAATCCTAGTGATCCTTAAGATTCTGAAGCGGCATCGTTGTTGTACTATGATAAAGAAGAGTTTGAACAAGAAGTTAAGAGGCGAGGAAACTTTACCTTTCCAACAGCAAAAACGTTATTTAATTCCTCTAACTAACCGAATAGCTTATAGACCTAATTACCGTGTGAAAAAGTAAATGTGAAATATCGTTTCTCTTGAGACAGAATATTGTGCTAACCATGCAAAGAAGGAAGACATTGGAAGCTGGCAGATGTTAAAAGAGGGTGGAAGTGAGGAGGATATCAGTGAAGAAGGAAGCTGATCAAGTCACGAGGAAAGTCCTGGCCATGCTGACCCTTGAAGAAGCAGTTGGTGGTCTTAGCTTTAAACCTTCAACTGTCAGTAGCAGTAGTAATGAAGTTCTGTTTCATGTCTGAATTCATTAGTGCGTGTATATTCTGCTTCACTGGAAAACGGTTGGTTTTGAAGTCACTGTGTGGTATTTTTTTCTCTTTCATCTTTTCTGTGGTAATGTCATTGAAGGACAAGTGCAAAACAAGTTTCAGTTCACAACTTTGGTAACAGGTAGCAAGAAGTAACTTCATATAAATGACTTCTTTCACCTTGTGTATAATTGATTTAGAAGATGGGAATCTCTTGGGAGAAAAGCAATGAAAGCAAAATTTCTAAACGCTACTTACAACTTGAATTCTCTCAAATTAGAATGCTTCTGAAACGAGAAAGGAATTGACATAGAAAGTGAGAATGAAAACTAATTTTCTCTCTTTTCCTTTTTACTCTTTCTATTGTCTGTCTCTTTTTTTAGTTTTACTTATAGCCCTTCATAAATTTGTAATTCGTACAATCCAAATCCGATTCTTTTGACTTCTAGCCAGTTGAGAGCTGAACGTCAAACCAGCATATGCAAAATCGCTACTAAAGCAACTTTTGGACAGACATAGTCATAGGCAACACTTGGATGCCATGCGTGCAAAGAAAAGGATTAAGGGACCCCACCATCCTGTTTTGTCTCCCATTGGAATGTCTCGTGTCACTTTCACTGAACATGTGAAAATGGACTTAAGATAGAGGCTCGTGAATATTTCACATCCTACCCACTATGAATGTCCATCTTTATATTAGGGCCTCAATAACTTCCAAGGGAAAAAAATAAAGGAGAGAGGAACATCTTTAATCTTGGCCTTCAAGAATTGTTCTTTCGCTTCAATCATGGCAGGATTGACGTGAAATGGCGTAATTAGTCAAGCATGATACCGAGTCATGATAACCTGAAATGATTTCCATTGTGAACTGTGTTTTAAAAGACAAGCCACCCTAACAAGTGGACAGGTTTGGACAATGAAATTGTTTGAAAAGGTCAATATCTCGATCATTTGATGCTTTCTGGGTTTTAGAAGTACGCCTAAAACTTTGTTAAGTGTTCAATGCTTAAATGTACGAATTTGAAGGTTTCAATCAGGGATGACATTCCAAGTATAATAATACTTTTTTGAGTTACAATGAACTGTCAATAACTAAAAAGTTTCATATACAAATCAAATAAAAACCTCCGTGTCTTGTCATGATATATGCTCAACAAAATGGTGGAGTATACAGTCCCTGTCTCCAGACTCTGTCGCAGACCCTTTTTGCAGAATGAAAGGAGATCTTGAAGTCCCGTTTGCAGGATCTGATTGCCTATTTATTAATGATTCCTCTTTATTCATTGTTTAGCATTCCTTGACAAGCATTTTCTTTAGCGTGATACATTTGTGGGTCGACACTGTGAAAACATATAAAAGAGAGGACCTTTTCATTGTGTTGTCATTATGTGCTGAACCATGAACAACATAGTGTTGGCGTCTGTGTTTTCTTTAATAAGAACTTACACAAGGAATATCACATGATTCGTTATCTCAAAAAAGTTTTTCTATATATCGCATTTTTATGAAAAAAATAATACTTCACTTAAGTCATGCTCTTGTTAAGTACTGTAGAAAAAGTAAATATTCTTTGCCTCACCACCAAAAAAAAATAAAAAGCTGAAAACTCTTTGTCTGGGGTTTCCTGATTCAAAAGTAGTTAGAAGATTCAAATAACATCCCTTCAATCGATCCCAACTTCTGTGACTTCAGTTCAGTTCTTGGACTCTGTCAAAAGGTAAGATGGGTTCTTCAATCTCTTTTTCTTCAGATATACTTGCTCTTAATTCTTCTCTTTGATGGTGCTTACGTGAGAACATCTCCCACTTGCTCACAATCTCTTTTCCAGTATTCCTCTCTCCAAAGTCAAAGATCTGATTTAAGAATATAGATATCTATGAAAATGCCCAGCGTTCGACACAAGACTCAGCACATAGGTGATAGCTTGAAGTACTCGTCCCCTGAATCGCCTTTCTCTTCATTCCAAGCTCCTTATTACGTTGCTATAAATGAAAAAGAAGAGCCTTCTCCTTCATCAACAGTAAGCAAAATCAGCCCACTTATTCTATTAGTCATAATTGTTCTAGCAGTCATCTTCTTTGTCTATGGAATCGTTCATTTGGTTCTTTGGCTTCTAATGAGAACTCCATCATCCTCCTCGCCTCTATATAATTCCAATAGATTTCCAGAATCCGCGCGCTTCGTCCTTTTCAAAGGCAGCTTCATCATCTCTTTCGCTTACATGATTCAGGATTAGAACAGTCTCTCATAGATGCTCTCCCTGTTTTTTACTACGAGGATGTCTTGGGTTTGAAAGAACCCTTTGACTGTGCTGTGTGTCTCTGTGAATTCTCGGAGCAGGACAAGCTGAGATTGTTGCCAATGTGCAGCCATGCTTTTCACATCAGTTGTCTGGACACGTGGCTTCTCTCAAACTCTACATGCTCTTTGCAGAGCGACGATCTCATCAAGTTGCGCTTTTTCCCTGGAAAATCCGTTATTCAATAATGATAATTCATGGGTTTTGAATAGATTCAAAGGAGATGAAGAGAATGTCAATGGGCGTTCAGATACTGAGAGAGTACTAGGTAATGAAGATCGAATTACCGAAAAAAGGGTTTTTTCTGTGAGGCTTGGAAAGTTCAGAAACATTAATGGCGGAGCAGTAGAGGTTGGAGAAGAAGAGGGTAGCAGTTGTAATATGGATGGAAGGAGATGCTTCTCCATGGGTTCGTATCAGTATGTGGTGAGTGGTTCAAATCTGCAAGTGGTACTTTCTGATGTTTCAGACAATGAAGATGCTGTGGAGGGGAAGATAGGAGAGAGAATGAATGAAGGTGAGAGCTTCTCTGTGTCCAAGATATGGCTTTGGTCCAACAAGAGCAAGTTTCGAAGTTCTTCTGATGATGCTGCTTTGCCTTGGTTACTGTAAGTTGGTTCAGTTCAAAGTGACGGTGAAGTTTTTCATTTACAAGTCCATGACAATAAAATGTTCTTAGTTTCGACATCATAGTATACATGGGGCTATTCATAGTTGGTTTTGCATATAGTTTGTTCTTTTTCATGTTATTTCTGAAATCAGATCCACCCACATGAATTTGGGAAAAATATAACTCCCAAATGATAAGCAGTCGTTTTGGACAAAGTAATGTCAAAATTACAATGCATAGTTCTAAAAACAACAAAAGATTACCCATGAACAATACTATTTCTCGTCAATTTTGTGCAATTTTTTTAAATGGTTCATACATCCCTCTTACTTTTCGAATATTTTTCCTGCATATTTTTTGGACAATTAACAATAGACTAATTAGTATTAGTATTAATACGTACTGCAAATTTATAATACATTATATTATTCATTAATTAAAAATAATACTGCTTATTTTTAAAATTGTATACAATATAAAATAATCCAATCAAATACAAGCCCTATTTTAAGTGGCTTGCCTGACTTTTTATATTAAAAAAAAACTGTATACTATTAAATCACCAACAAGAAGCTAACAACAATATATATTATTAGAGACCGCAGAATCTAACTACCCTCTTTTATTAACTTCCGCCTCATGTATATAAGGAGATGGTTGATCAAAGATATAAAATTTTTCTATATCATATGCGCTAGTCTAGCTAAGTAATCAACATGGGAGTTTTCCTCCCTGCTTATGTAATGAAAATCAACGTGCCAATCCCTACAAATCACCATTCTAGCATCATGAAGATATCTCTATGTTGAGACCGTTAATAGCAGTTAGACAATCAATATAAATCGCTATTTTCCTGAAGCCTCTATGCCAGCGTATGTTGAGACCATTGATAATTCCCAAGACCTCTGCAGTCACCGGTGGGACTGGAACAAGTTTACCACTGAAACCACATATCCATTGAAGTGAGCTGTCTTTGATCACTCCTCCACAGCCACTGTTTCCAGTCCCTCTAACGAACCCATCCACTTCAACTCTCACGATTTCATTGTCCACTTTGTTTTCTCTCATATCGTTGCTTTGATGCCCGTTGTGGAATATTTTCCTCTTCAGGATTTCTTGATCCCAGGATGCACGGTAGAGCATACTATTGGCATTTCTCAGTTCATTTGTTGTCTACCCACTGATTAGAGGAAAGGACTGGATACGGTGGAATCTAAACCAGGAGATTGGGGCACCTCAGACGAAGAGCGTACCGTGGTCGTTGCTGTTTGCTTACCTGACTTTACTAAAGTGGTTTATGCAGAAGTTGCAATTACTTGTATATGATTTCAGTAGTCTCATTCACAACTTGTAAAACTAATTTAACAATTTTTCTCACAATTAAAAAACTACATTGAACACCAAATAACTAAATTGTAATATTATATCCGATCATTAACATAAAATTCATTTAACTAATTTAAAAAAATCAAGCAACATAAATAAATTATTTTAAATATTTATATTTATTGTTTTTCTTTAAACTAATTTACTCGACTTATTCATATATAATCTAATAATACACATAAATATTTTAAATGGATTATATAACATGTTATAATTAAGTTATATTAGCTTTTTAATTTTTTTTAAATTAATCAACTGAGTCTTACATTCACTATCAGAGGTAACACTAAAAATAAGATTACCTCGTATGGTCTTAATAATTAGAGATTTGTAATTATAATTAGTAGCTTGATAAAATTCTTAATTATCAATTTTTCCAAAGAAACAAACTTGTCAGTAACTTTGTTGAAGAGGAGTCTATTAACACCTTTTTTTGGCTTGATACCTTAATGGAACCCTTCTTCAAAACCTTCACTGAGGAATGTCACCGGTTGAATTGTGTTGACTGTGCGTCATGTGGGGTGTATGTGTGCGCCTCGATCGTTAGATTAAAAAACACAAACCTTTTTTTGGAAGAAGAGTTCATTAGAAGTGCCTTGATGCTATATAAATTGACTTGAAGCTTGCTGTCACGTCCAATGGATGCCTGATTAACTATTGGAAGCAAGTCTAACATTCTTTCACAGCAACGCACTTTGCTAATCAACTCGGCTCAATGACTTCAAATTTCAAAGTCAAACTTAAAACCAAACAGGGATCCATGCCACAAAAGAGGAGTTCCCTCTCCATTAAAAAAAAAAACACTATAGACCCATTGAAAGTACAAACGCCGCTTATGAGTGAAAAAATCAGTTTCGGCTCCTTTCCTTCGCAGCTAACCGTTTATTGCCCTTTTTTTCTTGAATGGTCTGTTATGGATGAACCGCATAGGCCCTTGCCCTAAAGAAGAATACCACCGAAAAGAAAAGACTGTGAAGCAAATAAGCAATATATGATCATCGGCTCATCGTCCTCGCCTAACTTGTATTGTTATTTTTTTTTGGGTTAATACAAATTTTAGTCCCTCAAATTTGGACCCAATTTGATATTGGTCCTGAAATTTAAAACGTGTGGTATTGGTCCCTGAAATTATGTTCGTTTCAGACCGTTGGTCCCTGGCATCTTAGCACCGTTAAATTCTACTGACGTGGCGTTAACACCGTTAAACTGATGAGTTGGCATATGACCTGGACATGATATTGGTCCCTCAAATTTGGGGCCATTTTGGTATTGGTCCCTGAAATTTAAAACTGATGGTATTGGTCCCTCAAATTATATCTGTTTCTAGCATTTGGTCCCTGATAGCTTTAGGCCCTCCTCTTTTTATCTGTTCCTGTAGAACCCTCTACTTTGCTGTCAGCGGCTCTGGTGGCTTGCTGGTTGTGCCTGCCTTTTTGTTGGAGTTGCTAGTGAGGTTCTTGTTGCTTTTTCTCAAGCTTCTTACTCTGGTAATGGGCTTCTCTTTTTTCTTGGGAGGTTCATCATCGTCTGTACTAGAAGAAGATGGCTTCAATGGGAGTGGTTTTGTATCTGAAGCCAGCTTCTTCTTCTCATTAACTGTTAAGTCACCTTTTTGCTCAAAGGTAGCAGATGAGGTAGAAGGTTTAGCTGAGAATGCAATGCGTTTCCTCCACAATAATATAGGAGCAGAAGCTCTATGTTTTGACAAAAGTGAATCCCATATTGCATAGATTCTCTTCGACCATAGCCTTCCATTGCTCATACCACATCATCAAGTTTTAGTTGCCAAGTCAAATGCCATATCATAGGTTAACAAAGTTAGAGCCAACTCAGACAAATTGATGGCGTAAAGCTATCAAGAACCAACGACACAGAACAGATATAATTTGAGGGACTAATACCATCTATTTAAATATCACGGACCAATACCAAAATGGTCTCAAATTTGAGGGACTAATACCATGTCCAGGTCATATGCCACATATATGCCAACTCATCGGTTAACAGTGTTAACGCCACGTCAGCAAAATTTAACGGTGCCAAGATGTTAGGGACTAACAGTCTGAAATGGATATAATTTCAGGGACCAATACCTCACGTTTTAAATTTCAGTGACCAATACCAAATTGGGTCCAAATTTGAAGGATCAAATTTGTATTAACCCTTTTTTTTTTTCAATTTCTTTTAACCCGAGACGATCGGCCTCACTGCCCACTCCAGTTTCCGCTCTAGTCTTAACTCACTCAAGTGACTCAACACGTGTTGAATTCTGTTCGGGACTGGGGATTTGTCTGAACTCTGAAATTTCCAGACTTCTTCCGTTTCGTCTGAAAATCTATTCGCTTTTTAGGGCCATATCGGCTCTTCTTTTCCTTGGTTACCACAGACTTCCTCGGCGTCGGATAGTCGTTCGTGTTTGGTCACTGAACGCTTGTATGATTCTATCATAACCGTCGCCCCGTTCTCCATTGTCAATGGGTGTGCAAAACAATCCCACAGTTCGAATCTCCAACATACCCCACTCTGCTGTAGCCAAAGAGCTCTTAGAATTTCTGGAGTCCATAACCGGTCCTGGCTCAGTCTTCGCCTTGGAAATCTTTACGGAGCGCGAGAACTGGAAGTCGCGGGGCTTCGGCCGCGTCCAGTTTGCTACGCTCGACGCTAAAGCGAAGGCTCAATCACTTTCTCTTCAAGACCGCCTTGTCTTCAAGTCCCACTTCCTCAAAATCTCTGAGAGCTCGGAAGACATCGTCTTTAGACCCGCCAATGCAAGAAACCGGGTCGACAATGGGGTTTTGCATGCGGGTTTTATGGTTAAAGAGAACTGTATGAGTGTGTTGGAATCCTGGGAGGGTGTGTGTGAGAGGATGGATCATGCTCGAGAGGGAGAGGGTGAGTTTTGGGTGGTGGCAGGGGAAAGAGTGTTACAAACTGGAAATAATGTTTCAGGATATACTGGAGACAAATGGGTATTCTCTTGAGGAAGGAAAACTGAATGCACTAATCTGAAGGTATACCTTAAGACTGTTGCTGTTGTTTCATGTATGCAGATGAACGTAACTTTGTCCAGCATGTAAATGCTGAGATTTTTTTTCCATTTACTTGGAATTCATCAACATTGTGACATATTCTCACAGAAAGTGTCACTATTGGGAATACAAGGGAGGAGAAAAGATTTAACTAAATTTATGTAGATAAATTAACTAATTCATGGTTGAATTTCCTGAGATCAGAGTAAAAGTTCGTCAAGTCTTTCTTCAATAGCCAGATTATTTCCAGAGGACAAAGATTCTAAGCTTTCAGTTAGTTCGATTTTGGGTTTGTTTTGGGTACGGACAACAGATTTCTCACCCATGAAGTCAGTTGGACACTCTACCTCATTTTGCTGGGTCGTTGAAGAAGAGCCATTAGCTGCAGACATTTTTCGAAGCTTCCCACTCTACAGAGAAAATTTGAATGATATAATTCTGGAAGATGGGGAAGAATTCGGTTCTTCATCAGAAATAGTTCCACTTGTAAAGTGTGGTTCAGATTCAAAGTTGCCATATGAGATTATTTTTCAACTCAATTCTCTTGTTCATACACAGAAAATAAGCTTTGCTTCAGTAGATAATGATTTGATTGATTTGTTCAGCACCTTAAATGAAGAAACTTGTGCTGTGATTCTTCAGAAGTTGCACAACCTAAAGTCCACCTGTTATGAACCCCTAAAATATGTGAAGAGCCAATTACACGTGCTAAGGTGTGTAAAAAGAGAACTGTTCCGCCATCATCACACAAAAGGTTGATGGATAATAACGTCATGAGTTGCCATAGAGCCTTGATTACCCCATCAAAGATATATTGTCTTGGTCCTGAGCTTGAAACCTCTAATTACGTGGTAAAGCATTTTGCATCATATGCGTCAGACTTCATTAGAGTTACTTTTGTTGAAGAGGATTGGAGTAAGCTTCCAACCAATGCAGTCTCCACCAGCATTCAAAAGGGCATCTTTTCAAAGTCTTTTGAAACTGAAATATACAAGAGGATATTGACTATTCTTCAAGATGGGATTGTAATCGGGGCTAAGAGATTTGAGTTTCTGGCCTATTCAGCTAGTCAACTCAGGTCAAGTTCCGTTTGGATGTTTGCTTCTAATGACTCTGTGACGGCAGATTATATTAGAGAATGGATGGGAAGGTTCAAAGTGATACCCAGTGTCTCTAAATGTGCAGCAAGGATGGGTCAGTTGTTCAGTTCTTCCATGCAAACTCTTGAAGTTCCAACACGAGATGTGGAGTTAATTCCAGATATTGAAATCACCTCTGATGATGGTACAAATTATTGTTTCTCTGATGGTATTGGAAAAATTTCTCAATCTTTTGCCAAGCAAGTAGCAGAGAAGTGTAAATTGGACCATGTTCCATCAGCCTTCCAAATTCGCTATGGTGGATACAAGGGTGTCATTGCTGTTGATCAATATTCTTTCAAGAAGTTATCATTGCGCAAAAATATGCTTAAGTTTGAATCCAATAGCACAATGCTTAATGTCACTAAATGGAGTGAATCTATGCCTTGCTTTCTGAATCGAGAGATTATAACCCTGTTGTCCACCTTAGGAGTGGAAGATGAAGTGTTTGAGGCATTGCAACAGGATCAGCTGTCTTTACTAGCAAACATGTTGAATAACAGAGAGGCAGCTTTGAATGTTCTAGAGAGTTTAAGTGGTGCTGATTCGAAAAACATTCTAGTGAAGATGTTGCTTCAAGGTTATGAACCAAACATTGAACCTTACTTATCAATGATGCTTAGGGCTTATTATGAGCACCAGTTATCTGACTTGAAAAGTAGATGCCGAATATTTGTCCCCCAAGGTCGAGTTTTAATTGGCTGCTTGGATGAAACGGGTCTCTTAAATTATGGCCAAGTATACGTCCGCATGACCATGACCAAATCTGAGCTTGAATGTGGAGATGGAAGCTTAAGGAGAGTGGATGAGAGCACATGTGTGATAGTGGGCAAGGTGGTTGTCACAAAAAATCCTTGTCTTCACCCAGGAGACATCAGAGTCCTTGATGCCATCTATGATGTGGAATTAGAGGAGAACGGTTTGCGAGATTGCCTTATCTTCCCGCAAAAAGGGCCTAGGTAAGCATAGAAGGTTTTACATGGACTTGCTAGATGTGATCGTCATCTTCCAAAATGCCATACCATTTCTGCAGTTCTGCTGTCTGTGTTTTTATTCTCTGCTTGGATTTAGATTCATTAGTCATGTTGTTAGGTTGATTACAATCTGATGCTACCAGTTGGTCAATAGTTTTGATGGTTGGTTAGGCTTGGCATACCCTTAATTTCTGCTGTTCTCTATCTAAGTAGATATTGTGTATGTTGTCTAGTGGGAATTGACTAGTGATAGTAGATTTTTTTAGTCCTGACGTATTGCTGCCTCTGAGTAAAAACTTGTCTCTTGATCTACAGGCCACATCCAAATGAATGCTCAGGTGGTGATCTTGATGGTGATTTGTATTTCATAAGCTGGGATAGAGGCCTCATCCCAGGCAGAACAGTGGCTCCAATGGACTGCTCAAGGAGGCCTCGTGTAATGGATCACGAGGTGACACTAAAGGTAATTTTTTGGCACAGTTCAGTTTGGACTTGACTATTACCTTAATATTGATAAATTTGGAATTGTTCCTCATTTGTTCTTACTTGCATTGGCAGGAGATCCAACAATTTTTTGTTGATTACATGATCAATGATACTTTAGGTGCTATCTCTACAGCTCATCTGGTTCATGCAGACCGTGACCCTGAGAAGGCCTTGAGTAGAAAATGTCTGGCGTTGGCAGAGCTTCACTCCATGGCTGTAGACTTTGCGAAGACCGGAAATCCTGCTGAAATGCCAAGAGCCTTGAAACCAAGGGAGTTTCCTGATTTCATGGAGAGGGTAGGGAAACCAATGTATATCTCAAAGGGGGTTCTGGGAAAACTATATCGAACCATAGTTGAGTTGATCCTACAACAAAGATCCAACTCTGATTGGTCGTCTGAGAAACTAGCAGAAGCATATGATCATGAACTTGAGGTGGATGGTTTTGAGGACTTTCTGGAGGTTGCAAAACTTCATAGAGATATGTATGCTGAGAAAATGAGATCTTTAATGAACTTCTATGGTGCTGAGACTGAGGATGAGTTGCTGACTGGTAACTTGCGAAGTCGTGCTTCATACTTGCAGCGTGATAACAGGAGATACGGAGATATGAAGGATAGGATTCTGTTATCGGTGAAGAATTTACAGCATGAAGCTAAACATTGGTTTGAAAGTAGTTGCCAACCACATGAAAAGATGCAACTGGCCGGTGCTTGGTATCATGTCACGTATCACCCTCCATATAACCAGGAGAACTCTAGTTTTCTGAGTTTTCCGTGGATCTTAGGGGACATTTTATTGCATATAAAGTCTGGGAAGGGAAAAAAACTGAGGGTAAACTCTAGTTGTTAGATAGCATTTCTTCCAATGAAAATTAGATCGGTCCCAGTGTTGCTTGGAGTCTGAACTATTAATGACTTGTAAATGGTACGACTTGTTATAAATATTTTATATTTTAGCATGATCTTGCATGTTAGAATTTATTTGTTGTTTGGAACTAGCTTAGGTGTTGAAGACAAGACAAGACGCAGGTTGTGGTCAAGGTATGAATCCGCCTGAGGGAACTAAAAAGCGCTAGAACTTTTCTATAACAATTTATGATTTTTTTTTGGGTGGAATTTTTGTAATGGTTTTCTTTTTTCTACTTATGTGTCAATGGTCAAGTGATAAGTGAGGAGGAGAGGGGAGGAGCCTGGTTGAGAAGAATTACCTCTCCATGTTCCTTGTATTAGCATGCGGTGCAATAATGAGTGAGGATTTTCTCTTCATGTTGTACATGTTGATGACAATTTTGGAGTGAAAAAGATATCATGTTATGTTGACTCAAAATAAAGGTAAAAGATTTTCTTAGTCATCATTATAAGTTATTTATATTAAATTTTTAATATAAACGTATAATTTTGCACATTATTATTTTCTTAAAAGTGTACATATTAAATATAAATAAAATTAACTAGGTTTAAAATTTATTTGATAAAATGTGTTGAAAATGAGATAAATAGAAACATATAGTAAATTTTTTTGCTTGTATTCAGTCCATTTGGACTCCCCCCCCCCCCCGGGGGGTCGGTCATGTTTCTGAGGAGGCCATATTTGTCGTTAAATATTTATGGCAGGATATTGATTGGAGGCAGGACCTCATCCCTCTGTGTACGATTACGATTACATGTTGCCGGGATAAATGCAACCTGTCTGCTGGGTTTATTGAGCTAAGATAATTGCAGGATGAAGCTGAGAATAGCATTGAGCTTGAAACGTCTGTTGTCCACCCCCGCACAGAGGATTAAAAAAATAAAAAAGAGAATTATACTTCGGTCTCAAAAAAAATTTTAATTACTGAAAAATATAGAATAACAAATTTCAAAATAGAAAATAACAACAACTTCATGCTAATCATTTGTTATTGAAAGTTCTTGATAATTAAAATTTTTTTTTTTGAAGCTTCATGGTAAAAAATGACGTTAAAAGGGATACCGGAAGATAGTCAAACAGATAAATTATAGAGATAAAATAGCATTACTTTTTTCAAAATGGAAAAATGTGGGTGATAAAGATCCCCATGAATCGCATCGCATTCGCATCCCGTGGTACTAGTATTTTCTTTTCACTTTTTTATCCTATGCAAGAGGACGAGGTGGCTGTCGCACTCTTGAATGTGATTCTGAGATGTGACCCCACTTTATTCTCCTCAAATTGCCCCATCATCTGCCCAAACCTATCAGATCCCTCCAACATGGTCGATGCTTTTTTTCCACTATAACCATGAATACATATATTTAATAAATAGATTAATTTAAAAAAAAAAAAAAAAGAAGACAGATGCCCGTTTGGACCGGTTCCACAATAAATACTCCAGCATATAACAAATAAAGATATATACTCCTCCTATCTTTAATATAAGATTCATTTAACTAATTTGATTATATTAAGAAAGTTAGGTAAGTTGGTTAATTATAAAAAATGTGACACGTTTTTCCTAAAACACCATAATCATCTTTTTTAATATCCCTTTTCCCTCTTTTATTTGATTATGGTTAAAGAAATATCTATAGGGATAATTTAGAGAAAATTGATAAATATGATAAATAAGTTTTATATTAAAAATAAAACAATGACAAAACAAAAAGAGAGAATTGAGCATAACAAGCCAAATCTTGCTTTATCCCATGCGTATACTCATCTCAATATCAACACCACGCCGTCCTTTGTATTCTTTTATGTTACCAACCATAATAAGAAAATTATTATTTTTATATATACAGACACAATATCTGCTAGAAAAATACTTTATGAACAGAATAAACACCGAAAAAAAAAAGTGCAGTGGCGCGACGCGGCCAGCGAACCACCGCTAACAGCAGCGCGTAAGCCTCGCGTAATCAACGACTCTCGTGTGTTTCTGACATCTAGTCCAGCTCATGCTGGGCCTCTTCCAGCGCACCACACCACCCACCGGCGCATCTTAGCCTACACGGCGCATTCTGCCACCTTTCACGCGAGTACAGTAACGTCCTTACCCGGTGTGGCATCGACTGACCTCAACGGGACTGAACCGGGCGTGGCGGCGTAGCGGGTGGAGAAATTGTGGTATCCGTCGTAGCCGTTGTCTTCGGAATCGCCGTTCGGGCTGTTAGGGCCTTCGTCGAAGTTCAAGGCGTAGCTCATGGGGTCATATTGGTACTTGCCGTGCTTGCAGCCGCCGCCACTTCTGTTCCTGTTGAACCTCCGGATAAAGGTCTTCCACCTGGGTCCGGCGACGATCTCGGACCACTCACGGAGCTTCATGAGGGCTCTGATGCCACGAGACCACCAGCGATCGTCGGTAACAGAAGACGCATGCGTGCGGGAGTGAGACCAGGACGTGGCTCGTACGCGCTCCCACCAGACGAGACCGACGGTGGGAGAAGGGCGGGAACCGAAACAGGGGAAGCAGAAGCAGCAGCGGGTGTTGGCTAGAAGACTGTTGGATCTGTCTTCGGCGAATGATTCGGGCTCCATGTGAGACATATCAAAGACCGCGAATTTTGCAGTGAAATTGAGAAAACCAGTAGAAGAATCGATGAGAGGAAGAAGGCAGAGAGAAGCAGAGGGAGAAGGGACCGGTAGTTATAGGTATTATGTGTGAGAAGTGTTGGAGACAATGATCCCAATCATTCCGTGTTCAGTGCGAGGTCTCGCACGAAGTCCAAGTTCCGTTTATACATGTAGGGATATAATGGGGAGCCGAGGGTTAAGGGAGACAGTAGGCTGATCATAATGGCAGAGGGGAGGGTATAATAGTAATTGGAGATAGGGAATGAGAGCCGTTGAAGGGATGAGTCATGACTCATGAGCGGATCGATATCATGTGGGGCCCGGCCTAGGTGTGCGGAGCCTTCCCACGGGGAAGGTGTGGAGTGAGATTTTTGGTTTGTTTTGGTGGCCACTTAGAAAGAGAGTGATTAACTCACGGATTTAGCTGTAAAGCCGTAGTGACTGTGCAAGATGGATTGCAAATTTTGCTCATAGCATAAACATGGTGTTCAGGGAGTCTCCTCAAGATTGTAGGAACATAACTTGTTTTGGACCGAAAGTAGTATGTATTAAGAGAATTTTTCTACAACTCTATATACAGAACACCCTTATTTCTAGAGCTAACCCCTGATGCTGATATCACTCTTTTTATTGTTATGATATAAAATTGGGAAAATTACACTCAAATCCCACACAAGACAATTAATTCATAAAAAATCTCCAAAAATTTTGAAATGATTTCTAAGCTCCCAGGGACATGTGTATAATAAATTGTAATTGTGAAATTAGTTACTTATTCCCACTAATTTTATTGTAGCAATTCATTTACAACTTCAACGGTGGCTGTTGACAATCTGAGGAGAAGTGGTTGGCAATCTCGGCACTACCCTTAACAACTCACTCTGTGAGATACCAGGGACATTTCCGAGGTTGTTAACCACTTCTCTTCGAGTTGTCAACAGTCACTGTTGAGGTTGTAAATGAATTGCATTGGGTTTAAATTAATAGAGGTAAATAGATAATTTCACAATTAGAAGTTATTACACGCAGGTCCCCAGGGACTTAGGAATTATTTTGGGATTTTAAGGGACTTTTTATGAATTAATTCTCTTATGTGAGACCTGAGTGTAATTTTTTCTATAAAATTTTGTCGTCCTAACCTGAAATAGTCATGGTCTTTTTAATTAAAAAAATGAAGAAGAAGACCATGCCTACGTCATTTCCTTTTATCAAATCTTGAAGATTACAGCCAAAGGAAGGAAAGACAAATTAAAGCCACCGGATTAAATCCGAATGAGACAAGTATTAAATTAGGGAGTGATGGCGCAAGGGAATCATGGGGTGACTGATTCAAATGTTGAGCCTCCCAAGAAAATGGACACATGGGAGTGGGCGTGGTCCTCTACTGTTTTCCCAAAAAGACAACGGGCCATTTGGGTGTCAAGGGACGAAGTTGCGGTATGGCTTCGGTTTTGGAATCCCGTGTGGCGTCCCCAGGAGCCGCATATGAACTGGATAAATTGACCACATGAGTTTAATTATTTTAATGTTATATTAAAATGCTCCCCCAAAAAAAACACTAGGAAGACTATTATTAAAATTATGTAAATAGTGGAGCCCTTTTTCGCCTACCACCAAACCATGGTAAAGACCATAGTGGCACAGGTCACCCCACTCTAGTTTTTTTTTTTAATTATTATTATCCTGTCTTGCTGCCTAAACCTAAATGATTGTAATTTGTTAGGTTGGTTTGATTGTACTATTTCAAGAATTGATTATACCTTATGTTTGTGTTTGTGTAACTACTTGTGAGGAATGCGTATTCTCATTCCTAACCCATTTTTAAGTGATCGGTAGTAAAAACACATGAGATTCAACTACCAAAACTTAGTAAAGCAATATTGAAAATGGGCTCTTTTTTTTCAATATATGTGGAATTTTTATCACATGGCTAGAGGGCATTGGGTGAATAATGAATTTTATTGGGGACTCAAGTGGAAAGTTAATTTATAAAAAAGATCGGGAAAATATTTATTGATATTCTATGATGAATCTAGTGCTTTTGGTCAACTTGGATATTTCCATGAAAGTCCTTATGGGTCAATGTTGGTCATAAAGTAGAGTGGAGAATCTTTTACGGATCCGGATAGGAAGGATTTTTTCTCTCCCCCAAAGCCTTCCGAAACAAGGGGCCTTATTTCACTGACAATCAAGCCATTTTAGAATGAAGGCAGATATTTGTGATAAATAATTAGTCTTCCAATTATCAAATTATAATCAATTTCAATATATAATGTAAAAAAGAAAATGGTAAGGAATCTTTTTTTGACTGTTCAATTATTACGCAGTGACGTGATATGATGTCAAGATGTTATATCGTGAAAATAAATCATTAGGCTATTATTCTATTTTTTAAAAGATAAACATCCTTGCATTGGCCAAGACGGAGACCGTACAGTGATACAGTCAGCATGCTGTTGTCTCTGTTTACGAATAACTATTAGCATGTTATTTTAATTATTTAGATATCATTTTAATTCTCTTTTTTTTTAACTCATAACAGTTTTTAATATAAATATTTATTTTGATTAACAAAATTGAAATTGATTGCTTCCGTATGAAGATTGTTAGTTCAATGTCAATTTTTTATCTGAAAAATGTTATATTTTTGTTATATAATATAAAATAAAATATTAAATTTGAAATTACAAACTTTGTTGCCAAAAAAAATAGCAACTTACCAATCAAAGTGAAAATGAGAAACATCATTTTCTAGATTTCAAATTGAGCTTAGACATTTCCTTAAACATAATTGTACGAAAACTTGCATCCAAATTAGTTGGAGTATTATGTAGTTTTCAAAAATTATTTGATATTGTAAAATTATACTAAGATATTTTTAAAAAAATAAAACAAACTAGACCCGATCACTCGGTGACGTATTGGGCCAAGCCACTGCCAAACAAAGTATTAACATTTTATTAGTAAGATATATATATATATATGTTTATGTTTATATATATATATAATCTACTGTTTTGGAGGGGGGAAAAAAGAAAGAAAGAGGGACAATTACAAAGAAAATGTCCTCTCTCCACTTTTTCAAATGATCGTGCCTCCGAAGTAGAAAAAGGTTGTCTGGTGTAACGTAATTTTCTGAGGCAATGCCTTTTTTTTTTTTTGGTTGCTGTGGCCTTCTAGTTCTGTTATTAACTAGGACGGATACTGATCATTTATCTATCATCTATTATCAATTTATCATTGAGTATCTTTCTTTTTTGAGTGGTATTAATGGATGTAATCCTCTTGTTCTAAATATAAGATCCCTTTCGTAGAGTAATTTACATTACAAAAAGGGTTTTATATTTAGGACCGGATCTTATATTTAAGACAGAAGGAGTAACATTTTTCCATATTAATGATATTTAAATGCTTTTTCTTGGACAAAAAGTTATCATGACTGGAAATTGGTAATTGACATAAAAATCTAAGACACAATACCTGAACTTGGAAACAACATGCGCTCCATTACTGTAAAACTTTGACTGCAAACGAACCATCAAATCACGCACACAAAGGAATCATGTGTACTGTGCAAAATCTGAAAAATGAATTACATTATATCAGAACCGTAAGTTAATCCAGCATAATGCTACAATTTGGGCATATGACTAGTGAGAAACATTTCAATTTCCCTCTATATAATCGCCAAACGAAAAACTATTGTTCAGAAAAGCCATCACACTAAAATTCTCGTGAATAGCACTAAAGCAATCAAAAGTCGACAGGTACGTACTGATTCCAACTTCTCATCGCTTCATACAAAATCTCATTTGCAATACTAAGGAAATCAGTTTACTGTAGGTTTAGAATGCGTGTAATAGTTGTCATGTGGTTGCTGCATTTTCTGTAAAAAAAAAAAAGAGCCAGGTTCTGATGGTCTACCTCAATATTATAGAGCTCATCACTTAATCCAATGGGATAAAGTTCTTATTAGAACCGTTCATCATTTCGTCGTGTACTCATTTCACATTTGGCACGGTGCAAGATCTTATTTAAGTGTCGAGATCCCTTTTTTTGTCCTTTAAATCTTTAACAAAATAACTCGTGATTATCTTTATGTTATTGCTTTCTTCTGTTCTGGAGTATGGATAATGATCAGTAAAATATTGCCTTTCGCCAACATAAAGTTATTTTTCATCAATGACAATATGCTTTGTTTAAGGAATATTTGAATATGAAACTAGAGGGTCTTTCTCCACCCCCCCCCCTCCATGTATTTGAATGTGCACCTATGGGTGTTGTCATTTGTAATTTGAGGTTTCTCTCGTCCCTGTGCGCCTTTTATATGTTACATAATTAATTGTGCTCATTATCAACATTACTCTTTCAGGTCACTCAAAAAAGATTACCCTTTCAGGTATTTTTATGTTGAAAGTAGGAAGAGTAAAAATGACATACTTAAAAAGGTAGGACCTGAAAAAAGCCGGATGGATTTTGTCATTCCTTTCTTTATATTAACAAATTTAGTCGATTTAAATTAAAGGCAAAGGGGATGGGGATGAGAATGCCTGCATTATCTCCGCCTTGCATTTTGATAGGATGTTTAATTTATTCGAAAGCAATTTAACTTTGAAAGTAACCATACACTATTCGAGGTGTCTCGGAGTTGAATAAAAATGTTTTTCAAATCGTTTGATAATACTTATAACCCACTTACTATACCATTCACAAAAGTAAATAAACTACAAAATTCTAAGATCATGAAAAATAATAGACTCCAAATGAAATCTCAACATAACAGTGAACTGCATTTACTTACTACACGTTTAATTGGCCATTCCCTCATCGTCTATTCTACATATACTAACCTAGCCTTCTGGTAGCAACTGGCGATCTCCAAACAAAATGGAACATAAACCATATCATGATATTCCACAAACAAGTAACCTATCAATTAAATCAGAAGCTACCACTTTTTAGTATGGTGCTGATGCCATTGGACAAATCAGTGACCTCAAGTATTTGGAATTTGGAGCAAAATTTGTAAATTTAGAATAGATAACGTCCCATAACTTAACTCGCGCAAAGCTTTCTTCAAACCAGAAACAAGGAGGATTGTAAAGTATGGAACTGAATCATGCAATAAACTAAAAGTACTAACGGCAAAAACTGACGCAAGATCCAAGAGTACTATCAAAAGGGTAAATACATGATTTACTCCTCATCCTCATCATCTCCGTCTCCACCAGCAGCCTTCTTAGCAGCAGCCCTTTGGTTCCTTCTCTTCACTCTTCCAGGACGTCCACCTCCAAATGGACTTGTAAGTGAGAAGTCAATGTGCTTCTGGGAATCAACTCGCACCATGAATGATGGGATGTTCACCACCTGTCTACCAACCCTGGCAAGCCGAAAGGACATAGAAATTAATTATTTCCTAGTGGGAAAAAAAAATCATACAATAACATATTGCAGCAATAGATTTGCATTCACAAGAGTCACTATAAATTTAGGTTAACTGAATTTTTTGAGTGGAAAGGGAAATTTTATTCATACAAAAAACTCATACAATCATGAATACAGAAGCAACAAAATTAGAAATTTGGAGCTAGTTCCGAGGGAGCGTATGAGCTCATTAGCTTTAATACATTCATAGAGAAGTAACTAATACTGTTTGAACTAAGTCCCCTGTTCAAAATTTAAGGGCCACAATAACTTCTAGACAAATTGACTTTAATCTTTACTTGTCTATCGAAGAAGACAGCATCACAAGTGGAACAGATCGTGAGTAAACTCTGGCACTCACGCTGCACACTACCAACACGCAAACACATTATAACGCTTCCTCAGCAATAAACACAGATAAATTCATAATATCCTACAATTTAAGTTGACAAACGATAATCATACAAGATATAAGAACACATTTTTCAAATTAGTTGGCACAAATAGGAGGCCACTAAACAAGTAGTCTCATCAAGCAGGGCAGCTATTATTCAGCAGGTAAGAATCTCTAAACTTTTAGCCTTATGAAGGTATTCATATCAGGTGTTAAGATCCATACTATTCAAACCTTTTGAGTTAACTACACTACCAAAGTTGCTTGGAACTAATAGCTCGACTGGATTAAAAGAGATAAGGCAGATTTAAAACCTAATATGCCTCTGCCTGATGAGGACCCTAGCATGATGAATTGACTTGGCCATCCCTGATTTGAACACAAGTGTCTGAAGACGACGCTCAAGGAAGTTCTCAACGGTCAAAGCCAAGACGTAATCGAGTTTGTTCTGACTCTCGTCTAAAAGCCCATATCGAAACATCCGACGGAGAAGAGCTTCACCCTCGAAGATCCGACGCGGATTCTTCTCGTCAAGGGTCAAAAGCTCCCTTGCGTTATTACGGATACGACTCAGAGCATACTGAACCCTCCAAAGCTCCCTCTTGCAGCGAAGTCCATACTCTCCCACAAGCCTCAACTCAGCATCCAAACGCTCCTTCTCATATGGACGACGAGGCTTCTTGAATGTTTTCCCATCTATCAGAGAATGCAATATGTTATAGTACAAATTAATCACGAAATATTTCCGGAATGTTTTCAAAAGAATGAGCAGATTCAAAAAAATTACTTCGAAAAAATTAGTTCAATAATGGCAGGAAAACTTAAACCCCATATCATAAAACAATCGCAAATTATCACGAGAACATCAGCAATCTTCAAATTAACCAGAAGCTCACATTGTTCAAGGAAGAAACCTATTAAACATTGTTAACACAGCATCACGCATGGAGAACCAGTGATCAGTCTGAGAGAGACTTACAGTTGCGATAGAATGATACGTGAACCATGGCTCTAGTTCGTCGAAGCCGTCAGGTAAATTCTCTGGCTTCCTCGCTTCCTCCCTTGTGGCGCCCTAGGTATCCTGCTGAAAATTGCGGAGCGGGAGCCTTTTAACGGACCTCAAGACCAAAACCCTGTTATCAGACAAAGGATCTTCGGGCTTAGGGCCCACGAGTGGAGAGAAGCCCATTAACTCGTACAAATTTCTTTGGTTCCAAAGAAATATTTTTATTTTTCACCCAGCAAATTGGAAATTGTAAATTAAATATATCTCATATATTGCTCAGAGTTTAATATTTTGATTTAAAACGTTAAAAATAATTTTTATTAATATGAACTAATATTTGATCGAAGGATCAATATATTATATAAAAAATCACTTGTCAATTTAGATGAATTTTTTCCGGTCAAATTAGAACAAGTAATTTAAAATTACAAATTTCGCCAAAAATAAATTTCGCCAAAAATAAAGTACAATTATAAGACAAGTTAGCTTTAATTAAAAAGGTTAGTTATACGTAAATAATGAATAAGAAATGCATGTTTTTCTAGTTTAATTGAAAAGGGAAGCATACCTTTAGTATATAAGCAATAGCTCCCTCCCCCCCGGGGGGTTTCAATGAATAATAAATATATATTTTTCTAGTTGTCATTTTTAAGGGGCTGCTGTTTTTTCTTAAATAAATACTTCTTTCAAATTTAAAATTTAAATTTAAATATACTTGTATCTTCCTTCGAAAGCTCGTTCAGTTAAAGGCAACACGAATTGCTTCTTTAGAAAACTCGAATGCTTTATGGCCCCCAAAAAACTCGAAAATTATTTTTTAAAAAACGTAAACTAATAGGACATAGATTATCCAGTGTTATTGTTAATTTGGCACTCAAATTATCTTGTACAAATTAGTGAAAGAAATACTTTTTTTAATATAAAAACACCAAAGATTAACCAAAACTGTGCTATAAGGAAGAAGACACAAATTTAAATACCAAGAAGGCATACTTGTTGGTGGGAGGATTATAACCTCAATGCTTCAAAAATGGCTTAAGAAAACACTAAAGTATTCTTTGGTTAAAAATAGAGGTAATGAGAGAGAAAGAAAAATTTTAATAAGCTCTATTTAAAAATTAGAAATTTATATTAATAAAAATTAATTAAAAACTTTAAACCCGAACTCATTAAAATTTTCCTCCCTTCCTTTTCCATCTATTTTCCTCATGCTAAACAGAGCCTAAGATTGCACTAAAAAACACTAAAGGTTAAGGGCATCTAATGTAAACATGACCTAAACCGAATGCAATTTTTCGGGTATTGTTCTATGTAGAAGTTGAGGTTTGCCGTATTACTAATGCCTTATTAGCAGCGTGATTTGTTATCGGTTTTATGCTTTTTTATAGATAATCTAAATATTTCCATCTCCACATATGGGAAATGATTTTTATGTACATATAAATTTTGTACGCGCGCGTGTAGTTTACGCTATTTGCTGACCTTGACGCCGTACGCAGTGCAAAAAAGAGCCAAATGACATGAGCGGAGCTGGTGCGTTGAGATGAAAGAAAGGCTAGAAATAATAATACATTAACAAAAATGAGGTGCATTTTATTAAAAAAAAAAACTGAAAGAAATTGAGTAAAATAATTGAGATAAATAATATTCAATATCCTAAAATATTTTGTCAGTAACATAAGATCTACTTCGGGAAATATAATTTGTACTCCTCCAATCCTCAATATAAAACATATTTAACTAATTTAATTAAATTAATGCAGTTAAGTAAGTTAGTTAACTATAATAAATATGACATATTTTTCCTAAAATATCTTAATCATCTTCATTATATCCTCCCTCCCTCTCTTAATTGATTATTGTTAAGTAAATATCAATAGGGATGATTTTGGAAAAATTAATAGATATGTATATTTAGAGCTAAAATCAACTCCATAATTAAGTCCTGTATTAAAGACCGGAGGAGTACTACAAAGTAAATATTATATTAAAGGCAAGAGATAGTACTAAAAAAATATTGTTGAACGCTATTTATCTCAATTATTTTGCTGAACAGTTTGCAATTGTAAATTATTATCATAAAATAGATTTTTTCATGTGAACTGTTCACGTAATATTCTAGAAGTTCAGATTTATTTGTGTATGTTTTAAATAAAATTATAATATCTTTTTGTCCAAAAATAATAATCTTTTTAAAATCATTAAATCAGAACCATTGAAATTTGATTCAATGGTGATGAAGGGGGTAGAGGAGGGGAAGGCTAGTGGATGGAAGCTTTGCACAAGATAGAGGAGAGGAAGGGTAGAAGAGAGAAGCTGGCCTCCACTCATCCTAGCGCCTAACTAGGGAATTAAACGAATCAAAACTTACGTCAACTTCATTTATATACTCTGCCAAAGTGATACACGCCTCAACATTTTTAAATATTAAGTGTTATAAAAGCATGTTATTATCCATGTGGACGTCAAAGAAAAACAGCCATATTACGATCCAGAAACTCGAAATTCAAGAAGTGAAAGTGCATCAGTTTTTTTTTTGGCTAAAACATAAGTGTCCTCCTATTAAAGGCAATCTTATTTAAGACACTGTCAGGTACTAAATGTAAACACTTTTCCCAACAAAAATTCGAATCTTGATCACTATGTTGTGAGGGATTAACTCATTCTGTTAGATTTAAACCAGTGATAATTGCGTGTCAGTTTTATGCTAACATGAAAATGCACTTCTGACAAGTTTAGATCAGTTACAGCCACATCCTTCCCCATCATATGGCAGGGTAATTCGAGCAAATAAGCAAGACTTGCGAAAGAAGGCCAAGAAACGAAGTGGGGAAAAAACGCAAAAATAGCCGCGCAGCCGAATAGACGGTAGTTATAAACACATCCATCGCATGAAAGATATGGACATTGGACAATAACATCAACCCAAAATTTGAGACAAACATGTTTATGTAATCATTTTACACACTGGCGTAGGTGAATAATAGCATCACAGAAGCCACTTAGTAAATACGCACAAGTGCAAATTATCATATACATAGTCAAAACCGATCAAACTACAATAACTAGAAATTACATACATTAGTCATTAACACGTTTTTCAGTATCAACAACAAAGGGCAAGCAGCTTAGAAGTTAACTGACAGGCTCAGAATGGCAGAGAAACCCCAACCTTAGTTCCATGAACGGCCCAGAAAACGTTGCCTGCAGCATCGCAGTTTGCAGTATCAATAGCAATAGCACCAAAGATTGCACGGAATGCACCACAAACCACAGAAGGTGCAGAAGAATTGGTCTTGGGTGAAACCCGAACCACCTTCTGCAAACCCAACCCCAATGCATCTCCAGTGCATGAAGATTCAACATTGGAGATTTCCGCTATTTTATTATTCAGATCTTTCGAAGAGATGTCAATGTCTTTTGAAAGTGACTGGAAAGAGACGGCTGTTTCGATGACACTGGCACCCAGAATGCTCAAAGCTCTGTTGTTCTCTTCTGAGAAGGAAGCATGAGTCATGGCACGACGCAGAAGGCCAATGCTCTTGAAGGTATAGCTGATGATAACATAAAATTTGGTTAACTACAAATTACTAGACAGATACAAGGAATTTGCATCATTTCGGAGGCTCAATACTTAACCAACAAGAAAAAGAAAGTACAGGACAGCAATTAAAAAAAATGAAAAACGAAAGGACAAACCCTAATTGCTTCTGGAGGGTTTCAAGAGCCACTGAAAACGGCGATGATGATCTGATGTGAAGATCACTCGCGGCATATCCCTACGCAAAAAGCATTAAACATATCCTCAGGGACCGTTCGATCGCCGGAAAAAGGACAAAGGAAAAGATAACAATCTGAAGAAGCCGACTAAACAGCGCACCTGAAAGTTGGGAACGGTGGCGATGAGTAAAACGGAGAAGAGAGTGAAGTAAACGGACGGCATTTTTTTCAGCTCAGAATTGATGAAGTCGCAGCTTCGTCTTCGGCTTCCCTTCTTGCTCTCTGCCGAGTGTGACTGGAAGTCTGGGACCATATAGTTGCTTCACTCCGTCCTTGTACATTCAATTAATTTTGAAATAAGTCCATATGGTTTATAAATTTGTACAGCCCTCCCTATACCTCTGTAAAGTTTGAACTTAATTCCCACTTTTTTTATTTTGCCAAAACTCGTAATTTTCACATTTAGAAATTAATATTGATTATTTTTTTTTTCATAAATCATATATACATTTATACAATTTTTAGAGAGATAAGTTATATTATTTATGATTAATAATTACCTGCAAAATTTCATGTTGATTAAAACACTCTGAATAAAAACCCAAATACTTGAATTATTTTCCCGTGATTATCCATTTTCACCTCTTTCCAATTGGAAGAAAAATATTCCATTTACTGTTTTACATTCTATTTTAATTGATATCATCTAAAAAATTTATCTTCTTAATTAATTTCATTTAAAAATCTAAAACAAAAATGTATACAGTTATTTTAACAGGAAAATCTTAAAAAAGTGATTGTTGAATTTCAAAATAACAAATCAGAAATTGCTACAAAAATATGATGTTATTTGCTTTACAAGTGTAGTCATTTTCTTTATAAGTGTAGTAACCAATACTGATTTGTCATTTTTAAATTCAACAATTACTTTTTTAAGATTTTCCCTATTTTAATTCCATTTTTTATTTTTCTTATGCATATCATACCAATCAGCTTATTGGCTGTTGACATGGAGATTATAAGTGATTACTGTTTTTCGGATACGTAATAACATGCCCCAGATATCAAATAAGAACTCTTTTCACCAATAATAATAATAAGAAGAAGACGAAGAACTCTTGTAAGGGGGTGTTGAATACCTTAATGTATAAGCAGAATTAATTCGAACTATACAAAGGATTTCCAAAGTCCCATGAAACTAGAATTCCTCAACCCCCTCGATATATTTGATACCCTTCTTTCAAGGCTACTGCTAGATTGCAAACAGATACATTCTTTTCCCTCCCCGCCTACCAATCAAACTTCTACCACTCTAAACTCCTGTAAACAAGTTGAACTCATAACTTTCATCCGAAACTATGTCCTTTAAGTTTGCCTGTCCACCCTGTGCCACTACTTCAAAGAGGAAATCCAGCATTATTTTCTCAAGCAACCGTTTCAGAACCAGCCTCTACTCTTTCAGAATGACCTTCTTCATCACATACTGGTTTAAGCCTTGAAGCAGTGCCAAGGCTTTTAAGCAACATCATCACCTCAGCAGTGTCGTCTAGGTAGAACCTGGCTTTGCTTGGTTTCTGGCCAACTGTGCACGCAAAGATTTCTGGTGCTGAAGAGGGGCTTCCTCCGTAGACTTTGGTTGATATGCTCTCGAACATGTCCTCGTCAGACCTATCATCCCCAATGCACAGAATGAAATCCGGTGATTTCCCTTTCTGGGTCAGTCTAGACAGAACCTCTTCTACAACTAGCCCTTTAGTGATTCCCTGTTGTGTTGATTATCCAGGTTTAGAACTTTTTGTGGACAATCAGAGGTTAAGATGAAGAAAAAGAGGGACAGACATTTACCTGTGGTTTAACTTCAACAATGAACTGTCCCTTCCTAACAACCACTGGGTCATTTGAAAGGACATTTTCAAGGTGATCCAGCATTGCCTTGGCCTGCCAAGATCCAAAATCAAGATCAGCGTCACGGTGGTGCCAAACCAGGGCACTCTCCTTGATCTCCATTTGAGAGCCATCAGTTGCCTCAGTATACGATCTCATCACGGGTTCAACAATGCTTTTCCAAGCAAAATCTGTAGCTATATGATTTGTTTCCCAGCTTGACTGTCCATCCCACCTGCATTCAAGAGTGTGCAAAAAGAATTTAACTTCATATCACACGTAACCTAAGAAGCCAATGCTTTGCGTTGAGGACAAACTAACCTTGTAAAATAACCGTGCTCGGCTGCTATACCAAGGTTCTCACATTGATTTAACCACTCACCCAACGAAGCCCTTCCCCTACCACTAACTATAAACACATTGTTGTTGGGGTCACTGCAAAGGTTGTCTAGCAAAGACATGACTTCAGGACTGGGACTTTTAACAATGGAAGTCTGGGACACAATTGTACCATCATAGTCCAAAAAAATTGCTCTCTGATTTGACCTTTTATATGCAGAGACACAGTGGCCAATTGACAGCTTCCTAAAACTGGGAGAAAGGGCCAGGATTCTGAAACTCAGTCCAAAGCCAATACCCCAACAACGTTTGCAGAGGTGATCCTGACATGAACGAACTAGATCTTGTACAAAACTTCGAGCCCAATAAGCCATGTCATGAGAGCTAACATACCGATAGTGCTTCTCATGCCGTAACTGTTTCTCTATGATAGACATACTGATGGCCAAATTTATTGCATCAGCTACAGCACTAATGTCCCAGGGATTAACCCTCAATGCCCCACTAAGAGATGGCGAGCAACCTATAAACTCAGAAACAACAAGGGCACTTGTACGAGGGAACTCTGAAATAATTCCTAAGGCCTGATCCATTTGCGTATTCCCCTGCCTACAGACAATATACTCGTATGGAATTAAATTCATACCATCCCGCACAGCATTCACAATGCAACATTCTGCCAAAGAATAATAGGCTATCTTCTCATAAAAAGGAACAGGATAATCAATGATGATCACAGGTTCATAATTTAGCAAACCGAACCTTTCATTTATCCTGTTAGCAATAATCTGTATCTCCTTCTTCGCTTCCTCAACATCTTTGCCTGAACTTTTCAGGGGATTTACAATTTGGACTAATACTAATTCACCTTGCAGTTCTGGATTCTGCTCTAGGAGTAATTCTATAGCCAAGAGCTTCAAACTGACTCCTTGAAAGATGTCCATATCATCAACACCAAGAATAAGTTGCTTCCCCTTAAATTGCTCACAAAGTTCTTGAACTTTGACAATAGAAGACGGGTGATTTATGGCAGATTGAAGCCTAGCCATATGAATTCCTACTGGCAAGATCTTAATGTATATTGTGCGGCCAAAGTATTCAAGCCCAATGTAGCCCCTTTTGGATTCATACTCCAAGCCAAGCATTCGACTACAACAAGATAAAAAATGACGAGCATAATCAAATGTGTGAAACCCAATTAAATCTGCATTGAGGAGTGCTTTCAAAATTTCGTCTCTGACAGGCAGAGTCCGGTAAATTTCTGATGAAGGAAAAGGGCTGTGGAGGAAAAATCCTAGCTTGACTTTACTGTATCCTTTCCGGAGAAATGTTGGGAGAACCATCAGATGATAATCATGAACCCATACAAAATCAACTTCTGGATTCATAACCTCCATAACCCTTTTTGCAAATATCCTGTTAGCAGCAACATAAGCCTGCCAAAGCACCCTATCAAAGCGATTGCCTTGATCGGGAAACATGGGTAACATGTAATGAAATAGAGGCCACAAATGTTGCTTGCAAAATCCATTATAAAACCTATTCTGAATAAGCGGTGGAAGGAAGGCAGGCCAGCATTTGAATTCATCTAGCAACTCTTGGGAAACTTTCTCTTGCTCACTTTCATCAACATCAACCTTCAAAGATCCCACAAAAACAACATCCGTATCAACAGAAATAGCATCTTTTAGCTGCCACAAAATTGAATCTTCATCATAACTAAAGCACCACCTGCCTGAATCTTTATCCTTTTGAGCATTAAGGGGAAGAAAATTTGCTACAATAATTATCTTTTGACGATGTTCTGATGAGGAAGCATGTGAATCATCATCATCAGTACCTTTTTTCCCATCTATATCAGAAATAACTCCAGGAACAGTATTAACACGCGAAAGAGCTCTGGGTGTTTGGGGGAAATTTAAAATGTCCCCAGACACCAAGTCCAGCAAATTTGTGCAAGATGTAGCCACCATTTTTACTGCAATTTCCAATATTTGGTGTCAAGAGTGCAATATTATGTTGGATCAATAATTATAAGAACCTTTAATAAATGACACAAAGAAAAGCAAGAACCTGTGACAATAGAAAAGAATTTGTAATGAATATAGCATGAAGGACTACACAGCACTAAAGGACACAAGTATATAACTCAAGCAAACAACTGAAGGTTAATTAACCAGTACTTCAAACATTGCTTAGGTGATCACTTGCTAATTTTTAAAATGTTTAGGCCTCAAATAATTGCTACTCAATTCACCTGACACTTATTTGCTGAATGTTTTTTTACCATGTCTAACTCCATCATTGATTGTTGAAATAAGGAGAACAAGAGGCAAGATCAATATTCAATAAAAAAACACTCCTACCTGATGCATGTATGAATGAATTCCCAAATCAATTTAATTACAACCATGATAAGATATGAAGCAGCATGCTAGAGGAAAGACAAGGTGATTACCAGGTCAATTTTTTATGCAACAACTTTTAGCCAGGAAAAAAAATAGTAACCCCACAAAGTACGCTTAGTAAAAAAGAATAATTGGAAAAATGAGGTTGTCCCAAATGATATGTTCTTCGATCCGAGCAAAAGCAAATGACAGCAACAAATCAGGAAAATGATTGAAGCTTCTATCATGATTTTACTCCTGATAAATTCTTCTCAAACTAAATTATCAAAATAAAGGACATTAAAATTCCATCTTCAAAGAAAGAAAGAAATTTATCAAACAGAAAAGGAAAAGAAAGATAGGCGGAGATTACAACCAGAAGTTTTGCTGGTCCAGTTATGCTTGATCTTTGTGTCATCCAATGCTTCACAAGCACTATGCCTAACCAGAAACAAAGACTCATAGAATTAGAATGAAAGATATGAGATAGAATGGCAAATAAAGAAAACAGATGCACACATACCTAGATTGAACCGACGCTTATACAGCTAAGCTCACGATAATCAGTTCTTGTATTATTAGCCCTTCACGCGGTTCTCCTTAACTTGTCATAAAGAGCTCGTGAAGAAAAAAGCGTTATCCTTGGGAACTGCGAGTAAAGCAGAGTTAGGCGGAACAAAGAACTGACTTACATTACTTATATATCATTTTAATCCAGCAAAATCAATAAGACTAATTCACTGGATCAGCGAATCAGTAAAATAATTGAATTCCTCAAGTGAGAGAGTTCAATCATTTATTTAATTTCATGGAAATACAGTATACAGAAATATGTTATACTGAAATCCAGCCAATGTGCCAGGACAAAGAAGTACATAGGTAAAAACAGAGTAGAAACACGGAACAATATCCAAGCAATGACAGAGATAAGCTGGTGGATTCATGAATTATCTCAAGAGTTTGTTGAACTTTATCTTGTCTGTGACCATTAACAGTCAGGGGAGGTATAAATGCATTGATTGTCGGTTGCAGCTATTTAAGCATATCCAGGATGCTTTGTTTGTTTCTGTATAGGTTGTTTAATTTATATCTTACATCTCCTTTAGTAATTTTTATTTTACCTTTTCAATAATAGTTCATTTTTACAATCTCCAAGCATGGCAGGCAGCCTCAATGCCAAGTAACTACAGTTAGAATAAGGAATATTTATATGTACCATTGTCACTTTCATGTAGATGAAACAAACTGGCTGAGCAGCATGTTTCTTACCAAACAATCAGCCACTAAAGCAAATATAACAAAACCAACCCACAACACCAAACAGCCGAACAGAGAGAAAAGAGCGCACCTTTTTTTCTGAAAAGAATCAAACCGATGCAACACCAAGAATTTCCAATGGCTGTACATAAATTTCCTGCTGGAAAAGGGAACAAAATCAAACATCAACAAGGCATTTCCGTTTGAGCGCAGAGAAACAGCTCTTCCGTACCAGGTAAATGGAGTTTGAATTATGTGCTATTATTACTTTCATGTGCATGCAACAAACTGGCTTTCATTTCTCTATGAGCAGTATATTTCTTACCAAGCAAACAACTCCTAGATCAAATGTAATAGAAACAACCCACAATGCCAAACACCCAACCAGAGAGAGAAGAATGCACATTTACCTGAAATGAATCAAACTGATGAAACACCAAGAATTTCCAGTGGCTGTACATAGATCTCCTGCCGGAAAAAAAACAAACAAACAAAATCAAACATAAACAGAGCATGTCCGTTTGATCGCGAGGTAGTTGAAAGAAAACTCTTTCAACTAGCGAACCTAATTTCTAGCGAGGTAGTCAATGAAATATCAACAAGTCATTTACCCTGTCCTTCACTTTCTCAACAATCAAGAAGGTTCATTACAAGAAAGATTAGATAAAATGAGGATGCAGTGGGGGAAAGAAAAAGAGACAACAATGGATAAATTCAAAACTGAAAAGTGGGTATGAAGTATGAAGACAAGTAAGGAAGTTGGGGAAAATTTACAAGTTGAAAGATGGTTTACTTGGATATATGCGACGAGTGTGTTAGGTTGACAACCGGTGAGATTCGTGGGAGTTTCATGGATCCGAAACCGACCTCGAGAATTAGAGAGGCGAGAAGAATACGATGGGAATATTGTCTCCGAGGTTCCGTTTGGTTTGGGCGTTCGTTTTGTTCAAATTTTTGTATATTCAACAAAGGATGCTGCATTGAATTGCTGAGACAGCTTCAACGTGAAAAGTCAAAAAAGAGAAAGATGTATCCCACATTTGGATATATTGATATCTTATTAATTAATTAATTAATTATGATCTTTAAAATCCAGTTGGATGGCAACTCAGGCCGCTCTTACGTTTCAGTCCTGATCCTAATCCTAATCAAGCCTTTTTGACATAAATGCCCTCCTCATATAGCATTTTTACCCCACGGGCCTGCAATTATTCCTCTAACAAATTAATGATCTCCTGCAACACTGAATTTTCAAAACAAAAAAATTGCTTGAACTAGCTTGTTCCCATTGTGTTTTTCATTTTTTAAATGAAAATTATATTCAATATATTCAATTTGAGAAAAAAATAGTACAACTTAACTTTTCTTATCATCCACGCACTCCGAGTTAAGTGAGAATACAAAAGTTTACTTCTAACTTAACTAAATCATCTGTAATACTGTCTCCTACCCTTGATATAAGACCTCATGTGATTTTTATTTTGATCCTAAATATAAGATCCCAATCCACTTTATCTCTCATATATATTTGTTTTTTCTCAAGATTGTCTTTCTAATAGTTATAGTTTTAACCAATAAACTTGATTAGTAAGGATGTTTTAGGAAAAATAACACCTATTTATTATAAATAAATAATTTAACTTGTTTTCTTAATCTACTCAAATTAATCAACTAGCTTTTATAATTAGGACCGGAGGTAGTATGAATAACTTTTATGTGTACATGACAAAATTTAACATGTTATTCTTATGAATTAGGAGTGTGACTTCAACAATGTCAAAAAAGGATGTGTTTTTCGTTTTTCTTGTACGCAAAACTCATTTGTATTCAAGTAATAACATGACGCAAATGAATTTTGCGTGTACAAAAAATGCGACAACTTGAGAGTTTATTGAATATCGACGTCAAAAAATTATCTAAAGCTGCTTGAGGTAGTCATATTATTACGCAGGCTCTTTAAATTAAATTGGAGAGATTATTATCAATCTAATTATCCGTTGAAGTTCTCCAAAATATCTCAGATTATCATTAGATAATACTCATCCGGTCTTTAATATAAAACCCATTTAACTAATTTGATTAGATTAAGAAAGTTATGTAAGTTAGTTAATTATAAAAAATGTGACATGTTTTTCCTAAAACACCATAATCATCTTTCTTGATACTCCCTCTCTCTTTTCTACTTGATTATGGTTGAGGGAATATCCATAGGGGTAATTTAGAGAGAATTGATAAATATGAGAAATGGGTCTTATATTTAGAACTAAAACCAACTCAATAATTAGGTCCTATATTGAGAACCGAAGGAGTATGATGTTATCATGCTAATCAAGAAATGGATAAAAAATGATTATGTTTGGGAGAGCAGAGAAGGGTAAAACGGTCATTCGATGAATAGGATGATCAAATTAAAACAAAAATGGAGTTTGCAAAGACCAAAATTCTTCACAAGTCAGTCTTGTTAATCCAAATGTATGGATTAAATTTAATTTAATTAATGTGTGGAATACGGATTCTTTGCTTGGCGTTGAAATTATGCTTTGTATAATGGGAACAAGATTGACCATGTCCGGCCACCTACATATTATTCTACCAATGTGGCCATGTTTCTTTTCTCATTTTTGAGATCAATAATTATCAAATGGATTAAGGGCAGATTAATTAATTAACCAAAGTTCTCTCGTAAACAGTATCTTAAAATTAGTCTAATTCAAAAGAACCCTTTTCTAAATTATTAATGATGACGACGACGATAAGGCTACAATACAAGATTGATGCCAAGCGTGGTCGTCCCACAATACTCAACTCGGCTTCCTATTCACGGCATATTAATCGATAAACACGTTTCCTTAATTTATGACGAGGAGCTTCCAATCCCAAGCATTTTCCCCTTTAAAAATATGCCCACTTTGCATATTTATATTTCTATTTTTTTTAAAATGCAACTCGACAATATTATAAATGGTGATATAAACGTGCCAACGATGATGCCAGACCCTCCCCAAAAGACCCAAAACAAAATTATTCTTGATACGCAAGTAAAAAATTATTAAATGAATATTTTTAAAAAAATTTCTTGATAACAAGCATGGTAATATGTTTTAAATTTTTTAAACAGTATTTGAGATGGAAATAACCCAAAAAAGGGTTAAAACGTCTAACTTGATGCGATGAAAATGAATTAAAAAAAACATTTAAATGGGGGAACATATTGAACTATTTATTGTGTGAAACACACGCTTTATGATTGTAATTATGGGCAATATTAAATTAGGCTAATGAGGACGAAAAGAGCCCGACAATGGCCGCGGCAGATCGAGCATGTTACCTGGCCCACTCTTCCCGTCAGAGGATTCAGGAATGATTCATGTTTTATCCATTTATTTATTTATTTCTTTCTTTACCCTTTCTTTTAGATTTTTAAAGTAAAATTTTCAGATGTGTTTGTAACTAGAGAGCTTGCCCAGACTATAGATTTAGAAAGTATTTGGCAACCATCAAAAGTTTTTTTAAAAAAACTTTTATAGAAAATAAGATAAATTCTTCCATATATTTATTTCGTAAACAGTAAAAATACTTTTAAAATCACAGTTTATATTTCATCCAAACACGTCTTTAGTTATAGAAACATGATGATTCAAAAAACACTTGCTAAAATACTTCAAAGTCACTCGCAAAAAGTCTCCATATGGGTGCCTAATGGATTAGAATTAATTAAGGATCTAAATCCTCTGAATTTCTTTCTCTAAATTTTCCAAGAATCTGAGTTAATATGAATCATCGATTAAATCAACTTTTCACGATGCTGCCACTCCAGATCCTCTCAGATTTATGAATTCATGGAGAGAAATCCAAGTCTATAAACTGCATCCATTAATTTGGCATGTGTTTTTAATTAAGGAACATGGGATAATTTGAAAACAGGGGCCATTTGACAGAGGACCGAAAGAGATAAAGAAGTTCATGGGGAATCAATCAATGGCGCGTCTTGTGGCAATCAAGTGGCTAGGGATTATGTCTTGCGCTTAGAATTTGAATGTCAACAAATATAACTTCTTTCCCAAATGTCTCATAAAAAGGAATCAAGGGATCGGAAAACTTTTTTCCAAATGAATGCAAAATGTCAAGTGGACAATATAAAACTATAAGTTGAGTTTTAGCTGTCAAGAACATGAAAGTGGACCAATAAAACAAATCTGTGTGAGAATGAAAAAAAATATGAACAAACGATAGTCGGTCTCCTGATAAACTAATTAGATTACAAAGCGGGCAAACAAAAAATTTGAACTTTGAAGAGACTCTGAAGAATAGACATTCTCTGTCTTGATTAGTGAACTGCTTAAGGTTGTTAAAATTTTAATAAAGTAAAAACACTGGATATCAGGTTTTATTTACTATCTCATGTTCTAATTATAAAATCTTGTTTGTAGATTACAGAAGAGATTTTTTTTTATTTTTTCAAAAAAAAAAAGGACAGAAATGAGAAGGTAAAAAAGGTGGGGTGGGGGGGAGGCAAAATGGAAGTAGACACAACTGCCGGGGATCGATGTCTTCCCCCTCACTTCTTCCATTCTCCTCAGCTTGTCTTTTCATTTATAATTTATTTTATATATAATTCCTTATTGAACCTTCCATTCCAGTTGGTAATGGTCAATGCGTAGAAACCATGGAGCCTCTTACATACTGACACATCAATTAATCCCGAGTATTTCGCATTTGTCACTACGCCATTGGATCTCTCTTTTCATTAGTCAGCTTAACCCTTCCTTGTTTAAGTTATTCTTTCTGAATAGAGTCAGTCAATTTTACAAATCGAGGAAACCATAATTTAATTGAAATGCAAAAGTAGACGCGGCTTACGTAGGCGCACCCTTCCTGGGTAATTCTGCGACAACCTTCTTTATCCGCCACCATTGTCTCACATTTTTATGCACAATGGATATGGATCGGTTTAACCCCAAGCATCCTCCTTTTTTTCTTTTTCAAAAAAGAATTAATTTTCTTTTTAAATTTTTTTTTCCTGGTTGAATTATGGTCTGGAGGAGTGTGAGAAAAGAGGGGTCGCGGGGCCCGCATTATCCAGGAGAGAGGAACGCGTGTTTCGCGGAAAAGACAGAGTCAAAGTCTGAGGATAATGGCCTGTGCCCTTTTTTTTTTTTTGGACAGAACTGTGCCCTGTGGATTCCTGTGCGAGTGGGATTGTTGTCGCCCCCTCACCTCCTCTCCATCATTATCCCTTTCCTCCCTTACACGTACCCCCTTGTTTTAAACATCTCATACTTCATCATCTCTTCAATCCTAAATACTACGTCTGAGGTTTTATGATTTGACAATATATATAAATTAGTTAGAAAATTTATTTTAATTCTAAATACGAATTTATAATTTTTCTTCCACTATCAATATTAATTGTGGATATTAAATGACTTTTCATCAACATAGTTTTAGTTTGAATGCCAATAATTAAAATAAACATTTTAGGAAAACCAATTAACTAAAATAATTTATTTAATACCTGCAAATTATATCAAGTACAAGGGATAATACTTAATGCTATGATGATAATATGGTACTACCTCCTATTTTTAATATGAAAAATAGCTTGATATTTAATTTAATCTTAAATATAAGATTTCAATCTGTTTTATCTTTTATATTTATCTATTTCTTTTTAGTAATCCTCGTTATGACTGCACATGTAAACTATTTTGTCAAATAGTAGTTCTAGATAATATATATAATTATTAAAATATTTTAAAAAATAACTCATATTTATTATAAATAATTAACTTATTTTTTTTTTTTCTTCGCCAATTCATGAATTCAAATTATTCCCCCGGTTTTTGTACGAAGGATGAGAGGGAGTAAGATTTGACA